AATTTTTCAGTTCATTCCTTACAAATGAAAGGCCTTGTCCCCACAGAGATAGGTTTACGGAACTGAACTTTCGCGCGAAGTTCCGTGAACTTTTGCTAGTAGTGTTGACAGGGCTTACGCAAAAAATGTGTCCAACACGAGCGAACGGGTCTTATGCACCCTTCTCCCTTCGGCACGTTCACTTGATGGTTTTTATTGATGTTTCAAAACGAATGAGAAGGGGACGGCAAAATACAGGCGACCCACGGGCGGCAAGTAGGTATAAATCCGGCTATGCTTCCAAGGAATTTTTGAGGCAATTTATGACCCGCTGAGTAGCTGACCTTTTCAGGGTCGATCTCTTTCAGAAAATAGCGCTGGGAATCGTCACTCAAAATTGCAAAATCAATTAAAAGTGTCATTATCAGGGTCAAATATCCACGCATAGAATGATGACAAAGGCATGTCCTTGGTGCACTTGCAAACATTACCAAGAATTTTGCAATAATATTGTTCAAGAATATGGCGATTTGATAAAAAATAAAGCTACAAAAAAAACGTTGCTGCAATACATCCTAGCCGGGCGAGACGAGGGACTTCACGTCAAGCGACGGACGCCAGGCTAACTGGTCTTACCTTGAAAATTTCCAGTTATTTCTGTCAAGTAGATAACAGAACGTGACATAGTGTTCTGCGATCTTTTTGTCCCATACATTATTCTCATTTCCCAGATACCGATCCAGCAGTGAATATTTTATGATCTTTTCTTGTGTGAACGGTTTACGGTGCGTCTTGAAGTATGCAAAGTAAGCGGGTCCTAAAATTGCGTCTCTAAGGTTTGAATTGGGATAACCTAGGATAAAAGCGGGTGCGCACATCGCTAAAAATGGACTATCCTTTCACTCAGACTGTTCAAAATCACGTGTATTGAAAGGGCAACACTGTTGCTGTCAATCTGCTTTTCCTTGAATTTTAGTCAGTTTTTTTTTGGTTTTTTAATTTTGTCAGCATTTTAAGATCTGATCACCGGGGTTCAAAGTTTCGGAGAATTATATTGGTACTATTCAGGGGCGGACTGGTAGTCGAAAAGTTAGGAGGCGACCTGAATGTGGGGGCCCCTCTAAGAAGGTCCGGGGGCCCTCCTTCGAAAATTTTTGAAAATTTCACACTTTCTAAACGCAATTTTAAGCATTATTGGAGTTGAAATTCCACAGTTCCTGAACTTCAAAATAACCCATTCTCAGGATTCTTCGGGGGCCCCTTCATCATATAGCTCTAGGCGACCTTTCATGTGTCTTAGAGACAAATTTTCAAGGATTATTGGGCCTTCTAGTGACAGAAAAGGATAGGAAAATTACAACATTACGGGGAAAAAAACGATGACTCGAAAAAAATTCACCGCGGGGCCCCTTCGGGACCTCCGCGGCCAATTGTTAGGAGGCGATCGCCTCCCCGCCCCCATGGCCAGTCCGCATCTGGTACTATTTTTAGATTTTTACCTCAGAAATCCCTCCAATGCTTCGCACAGAAGCGTGTTTTCGCGCGTTTCAAATTGTGTTACCCCATTTAAGAGAACCCCAATTAATTGTGGTAGTGCCCCAATTAATTGTGAAAGTACTCCAATAAATTAGGTTATGGACCCAAATGTTGCGGTACTACCAAAATTGATTGGGAATGTCCATATCATCCTACAAATTGGTTACTACCACAATTTTAGGGGATAACCCCTTACAACTTTTTCTCGTGTATAATGATCCCATTTTGAAAACCTCCCCAAAGCTTCCTTAATCACAGTGTAAACCCAATGGGGCCTCCTAAAGAAAGGAACTGCTTAAGGAACGACTGTGAGTACGACCCTTACATTTACCCTGACGATGTTCCCGCGTCCTGAAATAATCACTCCGCGCCTCAGTCTATAGACCTATTCCAGCAGAGGCTCACCAGTTTGTGCTGACTTAACTGGCACGACATCGTGTTACCCATGTTTTCTTTGTGGCGGATTCTCTTGCTCTAATCGCACTCCCCTTCCGCTAGCCCCGTCCGCGACGGGGATGAGCCCATGTTGGAAAAATATTTAATGGGATTCCGAAACGCGAGGGAAGTTTAACGCCGGAACAGATAAAGAGAAGGCCGTATCGGGAGCGAGCATGAGATTCTTCCAGGCTAATGAGCACCACGATACAAGGGCGCCTCGTAAAAATAACATGATATAGACTACATTGTGCAATTAGGAACCTCTCTTTGTGGCTCATGAAATCACCTATCTGTAAAGGGAAATTACACTAGGGGGCTCACGCCCCCTGACCTCTCCGCGGTCCAGCCCCCGAAGCGCTTCGCGCCTCCGCGTTATGCGTTACCCGGTATGCGTTACCCGTTATGCGTTACCCGTTATGCGTTACCCGTTATGCGTTACCCGTTATGCGTTACCCGTTATGCGTTACCCGTTTCTCTAATGATTTTATGAAATAGAGTGCGATACGTGGTTTCTAAAATAAGTTAAAAATAGTAGTTCCTTGGTGAAAAACTTGCCAAAAAATCCGTTACAAGTTATGCAGAACCGTGTTTTGATGGTCAATACTGATCAGGGTGGTCCAACTTTAAGGTCACAAGATGAAGTTACAAATTTCATACAGTAAAGTGATAATTTTTCCATCATGGTCTTTTAAAAGCCTCCGGCGAGAGCCATCCAATTTTTTGAAAAACGGGTTACGATATTTTGTATTCCATCTGACTGCAATTCGATTTACGGTGAACACAATTTCCTATTTTTCACCGTTCGTACCATCTCTGGACTTAAAATTAGGATTTTAACCCTAGCAGGGGCCGGAAGTGTTTAGACTTTCTTTTGGTGTAATTTCGGTAAACAAACCTTTAGGCTCTTATGTTTTAAAAAAAAGATTTTTTGATTCGTGTTACGTGACCGTTCGAATCTCACTCATCATTGCCGTGATAGCGAAGAGAGCAGTAAGTGCATGCTGGGAAGAACCTCGAGACACAAAAAAGCATGTGCAGCCATGATTACATGGCTCATACAGAACAGATATGCACTTACTGCTCTCTTCACTATCACGGCAGATCAGTTATTGTGACCTGATATGTCCGGTTATACGAACCGTACGTTCAATTACATGAACAGAAAGTTGGGTTTGACGAAATAAATAGTTAGGATGATACGGAAAAGCATGTTCTCATTCATTTTGGGGAGATGCAATTTTATTTTCATGGAAGTCAAAATATTTGTGTAAAAAGCTTCGCTTCATCCAACTTTTCTCCTTTGCGTTAAAGTCTCTGCGACTGCCGAAAGGAGTTTAGGATTTCCTTCATCTAGTAAACATGCAATTTTACCTACTTGAAAGTCGAAATAATCTTATCACGCGTTTCGCCCTATCCAACTTTTTTACTTGGCGAAAAAAATATCCAAAGTGGAAAAGAGACCAAGCTCTTTTTACTTGTTGTGAATATACGAGAAAGTTTTGTTGCCTCGTAATGACCGGATTTGTGAAAAGGAACCTCATCATCTCGAAGAAAATATCTGAAACTTTGAACTTTGCACGAAAAACGCCCAGGGAAACGCCTGCGAAAGTGCAGGAATACTGCAAGCATGCCGTCCCCCATCTTTAGTTTTGTTCTCGGCTCTTGACTCGCAAGTCGCACGGGAAGCGCCTGCAAACGTATATGAATACTTCAAGCATTGCGCCGTCTCCTCGATTTCAACTCTTGTTCTCGGATCTTGACTCGCAAATTGCTCTTAGTTTCGAGTTGCGCGTGATATTTGGAAAATCACAGGTCAGCGCGCGTACACAACTTCAGAGAGTTTACGCAAAAATGGAGCACTTTTGATCACTTCTTAATCAATTTTATTTAATCTATTATTCAGAGTCTCAGCCTACGCACTTTTCCCGGTGCCTACGCAGTTCGCGAACGACCAATCTGCCGTCGGCTTGTGAACATTCTGCAACCCGGCTTTGCCATTAAAGATGAGTGATATCGTAAATGAACGAAATAATCCCTCAAACGCAGTATTTCTGAGTGGCGAATTAATAGAGGAGTGCGAAGGCCGTTTGAAAAATATAATGAATAAACTTATTAATTTTTTGTACGATATCTCCATGTTATTAAAAGTAGAAGAAACCAGAAAACGGTAAATATCATTTGCCATACTTTTTAATGATGACAAGGAAATTGAGCATGTAAGTCGCCGCTGCTGTTATTTTTCGCCAATCTCTGAGTGTGGATCATCAAAACACGAATCTTTCATTCGCATTAGGAACCAATTTTTCCGTGAGAAATTTTTCAGCCGCGAGTAGCGTTGGGCAATCAAATTTTTCAAGAGAGAAACGGTCTGCTCGTTGATAGCGGTTGGTAAAATATCACACATACTATAATGTATAAAAAAATGTTGCCTCATCTTTGTATGATGTTAGAATTCCGTTCTAAAATCACACCTTTCTTTTTATTCTTTATCACAGCATTGAGTATAGCTCCGTCGTGTTGGCTAGAAAAATAAGTGAATCAGAACGAGGGAAAGAATTGAACAACGAGAAGTTCAACTTAGGAATATAATTTACAGGCAAGATACAGCCGTGTTAATCTTGAGTACAGCTGTTGCTAATGGAGAATTTCGTCATAATACCAACGAGCAGGCCCTCACACTCCAAAATTCTTTATGAGCTAATTGCGCTGGTCACAGAAGCGTATTTTGATGATTGATTCTTATTGACTATCTAAAAGTAATAAGCTCTGTCCAAACAACAGCTTTCTGCGTTTGATATTAACCGAATCAATGCGCTTTATCGAATTGCTCGGTATCTCGGTTAATATTGAACGTAGAAAATTGCTCTTTGGGCTGATATTATTTTTAGCTAATTTGCAAGAATTTAGCATCAAAACAAAATCCTGTGACCAGCGCAACTGACCCATTATCTTTTGCTGGAAGCAGCTCGAATAAGAATCATATCTATACATTAAAAAGGTGAGGAAGTTGTAAAAGTAAATGAGGAGAATCGAAAGTTTCAACTTACATAGACCTCCTCCCACTGGCTAACATATCGGACCAGTCTTGAAAGTCTGAGCAATCTCACTAAGCTAAGAAGTTTGGCTAATCGAAGAATCCGCAGCGCTCTGCCCGCGTGTAAAATTTGAAAACTTTCACTAAAATCCTGAAAAAAAGGAGAAAAATGAGTTAAAAAGCAGGCAAAATTCAAGAAAATACATGTAATGGGCCAGTGGATAAGGTTCGAATTAAGGCATTCTGATACATGCTTCTACACCAACTTTTCATGCAAAACATGATTTTTCCCGACAAAAATTACTCGAATTAACTCGTAGCTAAGATATCTACGTTTTCATTTTACATTGATAACGACAAATTCCCCGCGCACAAGAGAAACAATAGTATACTTGAGTCAAATCGGCTCTCCACAATAGTTTTGGCAGGGTCTTCGATCGAGGCATGTTCGCTCCCCGCTTTGTGTTGTTCGAAGTGTTAACAACGTGCAACAGCTGAGCCAAAGCACCAAAATTGAATCTGCCATATTTTCATACTACAGGACCGGTATGGTATAGCATTTAGTGCGCAATTTGGCTCACGTAGACTTTTATTTTTTCAAGAGCGGGAGGTTTAATTTACACGTCAAGGGATATGAAATATCTTATTCCGCATTCAGCAACAGGGAACCAGCGTGATTACAGTGTTATAAAAGTTTTGCTTCTTCATAATTACCTAAAAAAAATTCCCAGAATAGCAAATAGTTTTTTCCTCCCACCAAAAAATTGTTAATTTTATAGAAAAATAATCGTGTAAATTTAAATATTGTACAATTATTAAGTATTTTTAAAAGGAAAGATGAAGTTGCATGATTTTGAAAACTATATATGTAACCGCGCCAGTTCTTTTTTGCTAATAAATGCGGGTGATTAAATAGGAGTGATTCTCGGTAAATTTCGGCGAGAATCGCGTTTTGACGTCACAGATGCGTTTGATGTTGACCATGGGTTTGAAGGACAGATGTTCAAATTGGCTGTATTGTCAAAATATTTGCCCAATCGCGATCTACTTTTTCAAACTTGATAGAGATCAAGTTCGCAACGGATTTCTAAATTATATTTAGACGTGCTGAATCAACTATGAGTAACATCGGTGAATTTTCGTCTCAAAAATATCTTGAAACTCAGCCTCGGTTAGGCTGTAATGAAGAATGATGGAAGTACTGACGGAGGAAAAAAGCACGTACATCGGTTTGCGACGTTGAAAAATTGTGCGTCTGAACTCCAGATCAATGCACGGGAGGCGTTCGATTTGGCAAGCGCAGACAGGTGCCCACTCAGGTTTGTCAGATTTTGCGATGGAATCAGGATATTTGACAAGGGTTTAAATGGGCGAAAGCGCTGATATTTCAGCAATATGTGACAACAGTGCTCCGACCCGAAGGGTAAACAACACAACGTGACACACCGAAACGATCGGGATCCTCGGAAGAATGCGGGGTGCGGGGGGGGGGGGGGGGAGAAATATGAGTGCAGAGCGCGCGATGAATCAAAGTTATAGAACTTATAAAATCTTCCCGATAGAGATAATGGGATTAGGGGAGTTCGCCCTGTTTATTTATCACTTTTTTGCGCCCGCTCCTGCCAGGTGGACCCTTGCGCTGCCTTTCCATGTTACGGGTCCCCAGATTCGTACTTCGGGGTGTCCGGCAGCGAAAGTCCCCGAGACCGGTAAGATTTTAAGGTGAACATATAGCGGGAGTCAGCAAACATCGAGGTACTGAACAACTTTTGCTGAGAAACTGGTTTCATTTAAAACATTCGGCAGGAAACGAGGTAGGGTGCCCTCTCTAGGGCACTTGAGAGACCTCTAAACATGTTCGAACTTTTTTCTTTCAAAACGATTATTGATTTGGACCCATCGCCATCGTAGCGTATTTTGAACAAACTTTCCCTTACTTTTAAAAAAAGAAACACCGTAACGCGTGTTAATGACAGCGCAGAGATACAACTATTCGTGCTTGATGGATGATGGATGTCCATGTTGCGTCAGCAAAATTGAAGGCGCAATAGAGCGATACGTGAACTCGCAGTGCTCCGTTAGGGTGAATTTGTAGATCTTTATCTAAACTCATATGCACCGGGACCATAACTCCGCCAGAAGAGATAGTCGGGTCAATTTGACCCGACTATCTAGGGGTAATTTCTAGGGGTAATTGTCAAAAAAAATGTCCTAACACACGAATTTTTTTAAAATTTGACGTCTGATTATTTTTTTATGATGTATTAGTGGACCTACATCTAAAGCTCGTGTGTACCGGCCCCACACAACCCTCGGGCCGCATGTTTTAGCAAGCCTCAGATCAATGAGTCCCGAGTTGAGCATATAAGGGCTAATTGTTTCGGTATGGCCTACAGTTGGACAGAATTAGGTAGAGGCAGCCGCAAAATAAAGCGAAAATTCAACCAATGTCTCAAAAATATCCAAAACAACAAACGATGACGGATTTCGATCGATAGAAATTAATCGAACTATTGGGATTGGCATAGTTTTTTTTTTTTTTTTTGCATTTCAGAAATATGGTTTTTTACCTAAATTTTACTGTAGATTGAGGCCAGATATAAGGATAGGATCGGTTTGACCGCCGTCGCATAGTGGGTAGTCAATCAGAGAGATCGGACATGGAATTTTTAACTAAACCATCAAATTTTGATGTTTAATTTGCCAAATTTTGAATTTTCAGGGTGCCTCGAAAGAAAATTTAACGACAAAACCAATGAAACCACTTTTAAGACTTCAAAGTTCTGTATAAACGGAGTTTTAAGCGCTTAAAGTTTCCAAATTTTGTCCGACCTCTCCCAATAACTCGATCCACTGCGTGTCGTCGGTTTGACAAACTCAGTAACTTTTCAAAATTTTACGAATATCCTTGACCAAATTTCTAAACGGTCTCCTCGTCTGCGCCGAATTGGCCTGAGGCCCAAGATCAGCCTACGGTTGGATAGAATTAGTGGNGGGGGGGGGGGGGGGAGGTTACCCGGCAATAACCTATGACTCGAGTGCGTGGAATTGATTGTGTGGGTTGGAAGTTGGTGGTTTATGAGCGGCAAGGCTCAAATCAATTACTCCAGTTATCCCGCCTCCCCCTGTCCCGAGCCGCATTCAACAAACACTCGCTGCGGCCATAAAAGACGCGCTATAATTTCCTCGATCGCCACCACAACCACGCTGCCATGCCACCGGAATTTCGCAGCTCATCCAATTCCTCGTTTGATACACGCTCGCGCGGGCAATGGTCCGGATAAAGTTATCTCCACGGACCACTTAATAGAATCATACAGAGCTCATTCTCAGTACGTGGGGAAAAAATTCGATGTTCGATCAAATTTTGCTCTTGATACCCAAAAAATCGAGAATCACGGGGAAAAAAGTTGGGTAGCATTTACCATACTCTGGTTATAAAACGGCACAGCCAGACAGTATATGATAACTTCCACCAAAATTATTGTCACAATAAGGGAAAATTTTGTTACTTTCACGATAATTTTGATGACAGTTACCATACTATCTGGTTGTACCGTTTACTAACCAGAATGTGGTAAATGCTACCTAATTTTTTCTGTGTATTTGGCGTGCAAAACTGAGCACGACTCTATTTTTGATTGGAAATCAAACTTGACACTTGACAAAATGCTCAATATGATTTTTTTCCCTATAATAAATACTTTAATAATTCCTAAATCCCACGCATAAAATAATGATAAACTATCTTTTCCTGTGTCCTGGTATTCAAACTGACCATTCAACAAAGCGGAAAGACACTCTTTTCAGCGTGTATCGTTTGGATTGTATAATACAGTTGTGACCAAAATTATTAGGTTTTTGGTCACCCATAATTGAAAAAAAACAAAGTATTGAGCTTTTAGCCGATGCAGTGGAAGGGAAACTATGTAAATTCAGGTCATGCATGACAATAAAAAAGGGTGTGAGAGAATTACATGTTTATTAAAAAGTTACCTTTAAATAGTGACAATAGCAAATGCTAATGCTATTGCTATTGTCATAGTGTGAAGGTATGATTTTTAAGTAAACATGTAATTCTCTGGCACACTGTTTTATTTGGAAGCATGGCCTGAATTTTTCTAGTTCCGCTTTCACTGCATTGGGTAAAAGCTCAATACTTCGTTTTCTTTCAGAGATACTTGCTCCGGTGGTACAGTTTCTTAATTCCTACTTCATCAACTGGGAGCGCATTGGTCTCTAGAGGCTTTTAAGCAATTATGGCGTTTCGCTGGCCAGGACACAAAGTTAGTGTGAAGCCAATCACTTATTTAATCTTACTAAGTTATTAGGGTGCATTTAAATCAAAAGGAACTATCTTCATTGTGAGATGGACCAGGGGCCCGGTCATGCAAGTATTCTGATCATTCGTGGAGCCCAGTTCACAATTGAGGGAATTGGAGGACAATGCGCACAAGTGCAGTTTCTGACAAAATTGAGGTATCAATGATGTCAAGTTTAACTAGTCTTAATGCACATTCTGGGAAAAATTTGCTCTCAAATTTAAATTTTCAAGCATCAAAAAGTCAGTTAGTAACTTTCTTTCCGCCATGAAGGTCCATGTAATTTCGAAACTTCAAACACGTATTTCTCGAAATAGCAAAAACTGCACTTAGGCCTCTCAATTAAGATAGCTCCTTTTGATTTGAATACGTCCGTTTGACACTCAATAAATGCACATAAAACATTGAAATAAACTTGATAATTTTGCGATACAACTTACCTGATTAAAAATTAGGAAAATATAATCTAAAGGGATTGAACTTATTAGGTCTAGGAAGAACCATGTCTTCAAATAATTTTTTGCTATTAACTTAGGATCTAAAATAACTTGTTCTGCATTATCCTTCTGCATGATTCCTGAAACAGAAATAAAACGGGCAACGCTTAGAGTAGAGTAGTGACTTGGAGACCATTTTAATAGCTCAGTCTCAGATGAGTTATCCACATAGTTAGAACAAGACATTTTCCATGAAGCGGCCATTCTCCCTTGGGAAGCATCCCCGGGTGATGTACATCCGGGGGTGGTGTGGCGTGGCGTGCTTTGCGATGTATCGATTGATCTGCCGTTTAAACCTATGGAAAAGGATCGATAAACTTGATGTTTGCAACGAACACCCTCATAATCGATTCTTTACCGTAGCTTCAAATTGGGAAATATAGATAATCGATCATTCACGCATCGCCACAGCATCCAATCCGCGAAGAGAAGGGACTTGATCCGTGAAATTTGATACTTCTTTTTCGATTGATTTCTGACCATTCGGATTAAAAAATCTCGTAAAAAAGGGTCGAAATACTGTTGTGTGCCCCACCATGCCTATATCTATCTATACCTATATCTATCTATACCTATATCTATCTATACCTATATCTATCTATACCTATATCTATCTATACCTATATCTATCTATACCTATCTTCCATCATCACTTACACTCTTACATTTATACCTCATATCCGGTCTCAGGACATTCCACCTATTCGCATGCTTTCTCTTCTTACGTCATATCACCGGACTCTGCACTTTCTATCCCATCGTTCCGCGCGGGGTCCGGACTAATCACCCTCAACCCTTGCCCTTCATTCATATCTGGAGCCATTAGCTGGTCACCGTTATGAGCTAATGAGACCAGAGGATCCGATCGCCAGAGTTACAGTTCAGCAGCGGATAGAGTTCGATTGTACCTCTTGGAGGCCAGGCCTCGGCTGGCTCCTCCACTTTTCTCACGTTGAAGTACAGAGTTCATCCCTTATATTTTTGTGTTTCGTGTTTTCATCCTCTTCCCCTTCGTCTTGGAGCAAGGGCACCCTACAGAGGCCCATCCAAGTAACATTACAATACTCACCCCCGCACACAGCGAAACTTGTAAAAAATTTCCGTCAAATTTCTCACGGAATTTCCTTCGCAATGTGATCTGAAGTATCAGAGAATTTCAGGTAGAGATATTCATTATTTGCCTCAAAAATCAATGTTTCAAGAGGAGAAATTTGGCGACTGTCGGATATTCATACGACGTTTTTCCTCAGCACGGCACACTGAAAAAAATATGCCGGTAGATTTTACCATCTCTGACACAGTGATACGAATATGGTAATAAACACCAGACTCTATGGTGGCATTTACCATACTATGGTAAGAATCACCAGAGTTCTGGCGAATACTACTATAATTCTGGTTATTTCCACTAAATAGTATCACTGTGTAAAAAATCAAGTAGACTCATAGTAAATGTCACCATACTTTTTTTTCAGTGCAGCAGAAAACAGAACTTTTTCTCTAAAAGTGCGAGGAAATGTGAGATTAAACGTGTTTACGCTGGGTACATGTACACAATCCCAACTTCCTTCACCTAACAACTTTTTTTCAGCGCTTATCGTCCTACTTAAAGAAAAAAAAGGGTCATACGAGAAAAAAACTGGAATCGTTAAACCTGTTGCAGTTCATTTCGGGATCTCCGTAAGCCGGGAAAAGCAGGGGTATAAAAAGGATGCATGAATAGTACACATGAAAACAACACGTGTGGAGGCAGCTTTACGTCCTCAAATGGGACCGTAAAATTTCACATTACAGTTCTTTATCAGCGCAACTGCGAGAGGGGGCCGGGGGCGTTCGCCTGGAAAGAGAATGTGATTGTCTTGAGGTGCTCGCACCAAAATCTGTTTATTGCGAATGCATTTTGCAACTTGAGTCGCATCGGCGCATCGGCGCACAGTGCGGCATCCTTACGGACGATGCGGACGAAAATCGGTAAAAGACGGTAAATAATGAAGATAGTAGCACCGATACAGGAAACCCCTTTGGCACTATTAGAGTAAAACAATCGAGGAATAAGGGAATGTTACATCTCAGGATTTTTGGCGTATTCTTTTAAAAGTTCATTTGAAGTTGGCAACATCTGCGCACAGTGCGGCATCCCTAAAGACGATGCGGACGAAAATCGGTAAGAGATGGTAAATAATGAAGATAGTAGCACCGATACAGGAAACCCCTTTGGCACTATTGAAGTAAAACACTCGAGGAATAAGGGAATGTTACATTTCGGGATTTTTTGCGTATTTTTTTAAAAGTTCATTTAAAGTTGGCAACCTCGAATTAGCCTTATGTTAACAATGTAAAAGCTAACTTGAAACACCCAAACTTTAACTTCGAATATCTCTGATACACGGAAAAAATTAAATTACCGATTTAACAATTCAATTGCTAAAAAATGTGACTGCAATGTTTCAACTTAGATTTTACAACAAAGAAATGCTACTTTAACCACTATTGTAAGCTAATTCAACCACGGGGGTGGTTAAAGTAGCATTTTTGGGTTGTGAAATCTACATTGAAACGTTGCAGTCACTTTTTTCAGCAATTGAATTGTTAAATCAGCAATTTAATTTTTTCCGTGTAGTCGCAAAAAGTCGCAAGATCCCTTTGGTAGAGTAGAAGTTGGATGTTTGAGGATTAAGAAAATGTCAACCACCCGGAGCATTTTGCGTTTCGAGCGAGAAATCTTCATTTGAAGTTGACATCTTTTCCCGGGTGTTTCTTATGGACCTGTGATTCTCGACCCATTTCCCGCCCACTTTTTCTACCAATTTGAAGTAGTTTTGAGTGAAAAATTTGAGAATGAACCATCATTGTGAGTTAAAAATACCTTTAAGATGACAAACTCAAAAAAAAAAACAAACTCAGATGGCGAGTAGTGAATTTTTCATTTTTGTTCACAGAGGGCCGTTTGTGCGGCGCGGCGTGCGGCGGCTTCGGCGGAAAACTTGTTTGCAGTGGCGCGGCGCGGCGTGGCGTGCATTGCGATAAATCGATTGATCTGCCATTTAAACCTATGGAAAAGGATCGATAAACAGGGTGTTCACTACGAGCATCTTAAAAATCGATCTTTTACCAGAGGTTCTAATGGGAAAATATCTATAATCGATCATTCACGCCACGCGTTGTCGCCCTCACTCATGGCTCGTGCATCACGAACTTGTCAACTCGTAAAACTTCAAGCGTCAGGTGTTTTTGCGTAGATACGAGCTGGGAATTCGACTTCCTACGTTCTAAATACTTGCGTTTGAATTGTCATGATTTTCTCCCTCGTGGGAATTATAAGTTATGTTAGACTTTATCTTGAGGATTCCACGAGTTAAACGATGAAAAACATTGACTTAACAACGCTCTGAAGACAAAAGATACCTAACTCAATTATGGAAAAATCGAGTTAGTGGAGTTTTCTAAAACTTCAATGTCGGTTCCGCGTGTGTGGAAAAGTCAGTAGCCCTATGTCACGCTAGTTCTGAGATATGGAATTTCAAAATTGCGACTTTCATTGGAATCAATGAGGCTGAGGCCTAATTTTTAAGGAGGTCGCTGATTTTTGACACAAAGATTTGGTCACCTCAACCCAAAGAAATGGTTGGTTTCACACAGAAAAAACTGACAAAAAAAAGTTGATCAAAATCTTCTGTTACTTCGTGTTTCACTTCACGCAATTAAACGAATACATTTAATGCAAGTTGCGGCTTCTTCCAACATTGCTGCACAAGCTGCAAATGCGTCGAAATATATCGCATTTATTTTGAGAAAAATGGATTCTTTTTATGAAACACCGAACGATTGGCACGCATGTTCCTTCTAAATAAGCCGGAAATAGCAGTTGCTTGTCAGAAACTTTAGTTCTAATAGGTTATATTTTGCAATTACGAGCTACAATTTTTTGCTCATTTTAGGGAAGATATATTAGTAACCAGTTTTCCTATGCAGATATATGAACTATATTTTGCAATTTCTGGGGACTACAATTTCTGGCTCAGATTAGAAACAACGTATGCAGTATGCACCGTTTGTGTCCCTACGCACGTAAGTGGTTTTACAGATGAGCCAAAAATGGAAGTTCCTTATGTAGTCAAAATTACACTTGAGCTCCAGGGACTCACCGGGCCGAAGGCGGATCAGCAATGGACCACTAGACAAGGTACGCATTTCAGCATTTCGATACATGTTTCTTCACCAAAATTTCACGTAAAACACGATGCGCACAACGAAAATTACCGAAATTAACTCCTCCCGAAGATATTTAATGATTCTTAGTGCATGAATTGAAACCACCCGCTCATGAAAACTCAATGCTCTACGTGATTCACATCGCGCGCTAAACGTTATCATGCTCGTCTCTGCGCTAAGAAAATCTGGCAACCTTAATCTTGACGCTTTGGCTCAGCTATAGCTAATTACTTATAGTTTGAAAAACACATGGTGGGAAATGAACATTGCTCGATTGAGAAGCTTGCTGAAACCGTTGTAGTGCGCGATTTGACTCACGTAAAGCTTTGAGTTTCTTGTAAGTGGACAGTTCAAATTCCTCGTAACCAATGTGAAATAAAAATGTTAATATCGCCGTTAGGAGCTGGTTTCAGTAATTTTCGTTGCGCGCATCGTGTTCTACGTGGAATTCTGGTTAAGAAACATATATGAGAATGCTTAAATTCGTACCTTAACTAGTGGTCCATTTGGCAACACCGGATTCCCTCCATTTAAACCTATTATATGTTAAATAATCGATTCTTGTCGGAGCATCTGGCCCCTCTAAGAATCGATACATTTCCATAGTATTAAATTGAGGGGAACAATGTTGCCAATTCGCTGGATCCGCCAATGCACCGGGCGCGAGAAAAGGATCAGTGAGCCACGTCAACGCGATAGGCGGAGGAAGCACGTGGGGGTTATTTGACGCTCGCGAGTGACGAAGGGAGTGGGGGAGGGGGACACGGAGGGGTGGCTGAGGTTGGGAGCATTTACTCCGGCGGGAAAGAGGGCGCCTCAGGGGTGGTTTCGGGATGTTTAGTTAAGAGTCTCTCGTAAGCAGCACTTGACTTGTTAACACAATTTCCTATACGGGCGCGGCGGAGAGTGGGTGCATGGAGCCCTCACTTTGCGCGAAAACTTTGTTAGTCTTTTAGTTGAACGCATCCTCCCTTGATTTATACTTTTTACGACGTACCGAAAATAACTGGCTGTCACAAACTTCTGCTCGGTGCAAACAGCGCAACTCGCTCAAAGCCGACAAGGACTCCGGACAGTTGGAAATTCCGAGTTCACGGTAAATTACTTCCTTCACAATATTTCGCGAAAAAAAAACTGGAGCCAGAGATGAAAAATTTCCTCACAATTATTGTACTTTAATATTCGTGATTGAAGATGAATTATTTTAAACGCACGTCAAATTTTGAGTGACATTCAACTGTTAGACAAAATTGCGCGTATGAAAATCCTTTGGGCTCTGTTTAAATAGATATGTTTCAAAATGCGGTCGAACGATTTGGTTAAAACAACAAATATCGATTTAACATATGCATACATTTCAGGTACTCATACATTTGAGCAACATACATTCTCTCATACATTTCAGGTACTATGAGGATATTTGGATTGCATTTTGCAAAAGGGAACCACTAGCATTGCAATGTTTCTAAGATTGTGCAACTTCTTTTGTCTTGGAGGAAAAACCCGATTATCCACTAATAGTTTCTATTTTACTCGCTAAAAACTGTAAATAAAAGACAAAAATTACCATCTAAATTTCATAGTTTTTCACGATTTCCGCAATTTTATTGCAAAGGATGAAGTTGCACAATCTTAGCATCATTGCAATGCTAATGGTTCCTTTTTGCAAAATGCAATCCATTTAGCAATTTCAATGAATTTCAACCCTTTTTTAAAAAGTAAACCATATTTCAAAGATAAAAAAATGGTAAATACATGTTAAAGTTATAAATTTATATTTCAATGAGGAGGGGTGTTTTTACAGATGAGTCTGAAATTGTAGTTTTTGATTGCAAAACGTTGGATGAATGAAAGAGAAAGGTTAAATTCAGATAAGAATTCTCCATTTTTGCAGCGCATTGAGAAACTTAACGGTTTATTTGTGACCCTTAACGATCTCTACACAAAGAAACAGGTATCATTACTGTAAAAATATTCATAATTAATTCCAGGACCTACTTACTTTCCTAGTCGTAATTACAACGTTATACTCTCGTGGTAATAGTCATTTCCGTCCTGGTTATCATGCTGGATTGTTATTATCATTTATTTTTCTCCATTTAATTTCTTTTGAAATAATTGATTCTAAATTAGGCAATCTGCCTCGTTATTTATCGAAAGATTAAGAGGCCGAAACGTAAAGTTGCTCATTTAGACGTGACATTGATGTCAACGTGGATGCAACTATTCCTACTTGTGGGACGTCGGCGTTGCATACCTAAATGCATGAAGGCGCTGTATGTTCGGTTGCATTTACAGTGACTCGCCACGGCGATTTATAAGGGGAAAAAAGGGGTCACCTACGGTGCTCCTCTTTTTACGGAGCATCACCGTCAGATTTGGTCAAATTATCAATTTCGACGGTGAAACTACCAAACCACGTATCTCGTTTGCGGTGTTTAAAAATCTACGCTCGCATTTTATTTTTTTTGAAGTAGACCAAATCAATATCATTCCTTGAAATTTTCACAAAATTTTCTCCGCACGAAGAGGAAAAATCACAGAAATTTTCAAGACTGGACGTTAAGCAGTTTTTCATTTAAAAAATAAAGTATGACAGGAAGTCTGCGACGTCGCAAACCGAGATACGTGGTTTGGTAGTTTCACCGTCGATATTTTGATCAAAACGTCAAGGTAACGAAGTCAGTAAAAACCGAAAATACATACATACGAGTCGCTGTTATAGCGCTCTTTGGCGCTTTGCGACACCTAATCGCCACAAAGCTCGGTCTTCCCACAGGTTATCAGGGAGTTGACACTCCCTCATCTCACTTAACACCCCCTGTCGCCAACCTCTCACTGGGCGTCCCCTACGCCTCCTCCCAGGAGGAACCCAATCAAGCATCTTTTTGGCAGCCTCTCTTCCGTCATCCTATTGACATGACCATACCAAACAAGTTGTTTGGTCATGACGTCGAACACGATGTCATTTTCGACTTCCATTATCTGACGCACTCTATCATTACGGACCCGATCTCTCCTAGAAATTCCTGCCGACCTTCTCCAGAAATCCATCTCCGTTGCTCTTAGCATATCCTGTGTCCGTTTCTTCAGCTGCCAAACTTCACATCCGTATGTTAATATACTTTTGACTACATGTAGTTACACGCTGCAGCGTTGTATATCCTCCTCTTGTTATCTTTGGAAATCCGCTGATCCCAGAGGATTCCATTTAACATCGCTATAGCCTTCCTTGCTAAGGTGTTTCTTTCCCTGATAGCTTGATCCGTCCTTCCATCCTGGGTCAACCGCACTCCCAAGTACTTGAAGTGCTCGCAGCATTTGATCTGCTGCCCATCCTCCAACTCAATGCTTTGCTGATCACCACCAAAAGTCATCTTCTCAGATTTGGATATGCTGACTTCCAAACCCCACTTCCGATATTCTTCTACTAACTTGCGCATCATGTACTCCGCGTCTTCTTGATCTTGAGCAACCTCGCACCTTGTTGCGCACCTTGTTGCACCTTGTTGCTCAAGAAAAACCGAAAATAATGTGATAAATAATCCATAAATATTTCGCGGCCCGCCAATTTTTGACAGAAATGGACGTAGGTAAAGTCATGCGCTATTTCCAGTTCATCCACAATAATGGGATTAAAATAAATGAAAAGAGATAAATAAAGAGAGACTTACTCACCAGTTCTAAAATTAACAACAATATCTATTAAAAAGATGGTGTCTGAGAGGCAGTTGAAGGCGATCCATCTAGTGCTTAGGTCATCGTTAAAAAACGATATGGCTACAGGCAGGATTATTAAATTGGCTACCAATAATAACAACATACATAGGTCCCAATAAAATCTGAAACAGATAGAAAAAAACGAATTTGATTAGCATTTTCATTCTTACTCTTCTCCACTTGATTTCTTATTGTTAGTCACAGTACTAAATTACAATAATTCTGAGAGGATATGTCTTCCGATGAACAGTGAAAGACGTCATAGATGAAGGTGTAAACTAACAGTCTTAAGATTCTGAGAGAATGCGATACAATTTGAGGCATTAAATTGATTACATTATGCAATAAGGAACCACTATCTTCGACTCTTCCATAACAGCACATGCATATCTGCGTAGGGAAACCAATGGCATGTATCGTGTTTTTAAAATAAGCCAGAAATTGTGGTTTCTTTACTGCAAAATGCAATCCAAATAAGAGTTTCAGTGGCGTGGCGTGAATTGCGATATGTCGATTGTTATGCCATTTAAACCTATGAAAAAAGATCGATTATCAGGGTGTTCGCAGCGAACACCTTAGTAATCGATTCTTTACCATAGCTTCAAATGGCGAGATATCGATAATCGATTATTCACGCCACGCCACTGAAGAGTTTGTGGTATGGACTAGCTTTGAACCCGACATTTCGTCGTTTCTCTCTCGAAAGATTGTAACTACATTTCAATGCTGCCAGATTTTTCCGCGAAAATTTCATCTATACGGAGTGAGTTATGAGAATTTGTGACTGAAAATTTCACTAATTTTTCTTCTAATTTCATGGAAAAATTAGACACATTTTCGACACAAATTATGCAGGTTTACTCCCGGTAAAAATTATATTGTTTGAGTCAATTTTGCAACCTTGGAATGGAGTGACGTTCCTTCGCGCGGAAAAGACGATTTAGGCGAAAAAATGAGTTATTTTCTATGTTTCACAGAGACGGAGATTGAACGAAAAAATGAGCTGAAATTTAACATGCGAAAGCCTCTTCTAGCCTCTCTTTTTTTCTAGCGCGCCCTTCAACTCCGAACTTATTAATTAGGATTGACAAAAATAAACTCGTCACTCTGTCACAGCCTACAGTGAAGATTTGGAGCGTTAATTTGTCGATGGCTTCCAAGACGTACGATCCAGTTGTTCCTAAGTTGGAACACGTCCGTTTTCGGACGAGTCTCCGCGCTGTTGTTGTTTCACGCTCTCGGAGACTCATCGCAAATTAAACATGGGTTCTTTCTGAAACAATTGATTCGTGTTTCTTCGAATTTTTTTGAAGAAAAGAAAGAAAGGAAGGAAGAGGGGAGCGGACAACAACATTCGTATACGCAGTGAGCGTGCGCACAATGACTTAAGAATCCACAAACACAGGAGTGGGCATACAAGTTAATTGATGGGGTCAGTTAAGACTAGTTCATACTCGTGTCGTCAGCCCGGCTGGAAATAAAACTCCGAACCGAGCTATTGCCATCGACCGCTCATTTAGCGCGAGGTTTACACCAATAATCGCTCGCGGTCAATTTGAAGAGGATGTTGTGATCGTTTTGTTCAGTTTTGTTCAAAGTAATAAAAGTATTGTAAAGTTAGCTGTGTGTACACGCACACATCAAATGAATCAGTGAGAACTAAAACACACCAACTTGGGAAAAGAAACATTTTCAATAAGAGACACCAAAAACTGCGCAGCGGGCGAAGATGTTAGTGTAGGAAAAAGGTGCTGAAGAAACATTGTAAATAAGTACCAAGTTTATTGAATCTATGTCGATGGCAAGACAAGACAGCTATATTTAAACCATACAATACATCGCTTTTTGACGTCTTATCATGCTGCTTTTAAGTTTCTATGATCCGAAGAGGTGGTCCGAAGAACTATCCTCGGGGAACAGCATAGACGGTACCAGAAACCTCGATAGGAGGAAGGGGGCGTAAAGGGGATCTGGGAGCTTCCTCTAGACAATTTTTGAATTTTTGGAAGAGTCTTTTATGCAGTTTGAGTCAATTTTGTCATAAATAATTGCCAAATGTAAACGTTTCTTCTTTACTTTTCCTCCGTCCCTTCCTTTCTTCTGTCTTCTCCTTTTCTTCCTCCTCTCTTTTGGACGAACGGAAGGGGCGCACACCCCCTACACCCCCGTTGGATCCGCCTATGAGGAACAGTCGAAGGAAAAAAAATAAGAAAAACTATTAATGTGAAATCTTGAAAAACGCACGAGTTTTTCTCACAAGTCCAGCGTGAAAGCATTAGTGGAAATCTGTCTTTAATTAGGAGGCAACGGTGTTGAGTCAGGATATTAATTGATAAATATAATTAGCGGGTGACTAATGATTTATCTCCCGCGGCGGTTTTTATCCTCCGCCCCCTCCGCCTACTCCACCTCCTCCGCCTCCGCCTCCGCCTTTCATCAAAAGCTATTTGCTGGTATGCTAGGCCACATGAAAAATGACACCGATCGCCGTCGTCGTAGTATTCTGACCTGTAGTGCCAGATCGCATCAACCACCCGTCCAAGTATCTGCATCACAAAAGGTAGTAGTAGGAGTAGAATACATTTATTTTATAGCCGTGCTCCAGCAAATTCGGCTATTCTTACTTTTGCAATTTAAAGTGATTCGAGGAACCCTTTATTTTGTGTCAGGACGACATGCGATATACGGCACCGATTATTTCCATTTTCTCAGCTACCTACTTGTCATGTTTTTCGAATTTTGAAATCGCATCTCTGTTGTCAGGAGACTAAATAATTCACTTACCAAATTTGGCAAGCAAATTCAATTTAATAAAGGCGTGGTTTTTTAGAGGAAAAATATCGTATTCGATAATGATAATTGAAACTGCACTCGAATGCGATATTTTCCCTTAAAAAAAACCACGCCACGTTGAATTCGTTGGTCAATATTGGTAAGTGAAATTTTTAGTCTTCTGACAACAGAATTGCGAAATCAACAGAATTATCAAAATTCGAGAAAAATGACGAGTAGCTGAAAAAATGGAACTAATCGATGCGATAAATCGCATGTCGTAATGACACAGAAGAAAATCAAGAACGTAAAACTTAGCGGATAGCGGATATTTAAGGAAAATAAGGGGGAAAGCTTTAAAACTTCGATTTGTTTGCGAGACAAAATTCTCAACAACGTTTTTAACCATCCACCTGGTTAGTAGGTTAACAATAAAATGTTAGAGTCCTGAAAGTAAAAGCTCCCCGATCGCCAAAATACCAATGGAGCGTCTCTTCTGCCTAAAAGCTCTATGACCTAACCTCCAAAATCACCGACACCCATATACTCTCCCACATAGGCACTCTAGGCCAGTGCTTCCATCTCCCGGAACTAGTACCGATTTTCGGAACTTTTGAGATATTCCTGAATTTTTCCCGGAACTTTTGAAATTCCCGAAACATTCCGAATCTTTTGAATTTTCCGGAACTTTTTCGGAACTTTGGAAAAAATTGAAAAAAAATTTCGGAACTTTTGACGGACATGGAATGGGAGCACTATGGTCTAGGCCAACCTGGCCTTCGCACAGTGATGGGGGAGGGAATAGACTCATAATGACGCTATAGGGCAGATTACGGTTTTCTCTCTCCCTCTCTCTTTCCTTCTTGGACAACAGAAGGATGCAATTGTAGGAGAAATCTTAGCGAGCCTCCGTCCCTGCACGGGATACTGGAAGATGATCGGGCGGAGCGAGATATCCGGATCCGGGTTCAGCGGGAAACAAAGCGAATTGAAGGGAGCATTTCCACTCGGTGACGTATCATCCGAGCCGTGTCAAATTCGCGAATTCAGCCCGCACCAATTTCGCCCGGCTACCTCTCAAATGGACAAAAAGATGTAAGCACCCTGAAAAGTGAGCCCTGCCGTCCATAAGACTCGATGCTCGGCGAGGCTCACGTAGGGGTGGAGTTGGGGGGTTGCGCCGCCGGACGCGCTTCTGATCCGCCGACCGGAGCGTAAAATTGCCACCCTCCGATGCGATGAGCGGTGACATGACAGTCCGAGACACTCGAGTCGATTGCCGCGGATTTCAGCGTTTCAGCGGACTGCCTCTCCGACTTCGGAGAGCGGGGGTGGTGGAGGGCGGGGTGGAGGTGGTGGAGGGCGAGGTGGAGGCGGAGAAATAGCAAAAACGGCACTTTTCTGACCCGCTAAGTGGACGAGAAAAATGCCGTGGTTTAAGTCCACCGGGCCCGGTAGCCGTGTGGCATTGTGAGCCCCTCTCTAAGGCGTTGGCAGATCTCTAGTTGAGCGGATTTTTCTCCACCGAGGAAAAAGGTTCGGGCTATACTGCCGTGCTAAGGAAAAAATTCGTAAAGACATTCCGGAGTTGCCAAATTTTCTTCGATAAAATTTTTGTTTTTGAGGGAAGCTATGAATATTTTTCCTTGAAATTTATAGAAGCTTCAGGTGAAATTTCGAACAAAATTATATGAAAAATTTGAAGAAGAAACTGAAAAATTTTCCCGAGAATTCGTGATTTACTTAAGGAAATTTAGGAACGCCTTAAGGTTTATACGGCGTTCTTCCTTAGCACGGCAGATGTGGACATATCGTCCCGTCCGTCCGTTCCGGGCTCTGAGGACGAAAGTTCCGGGTGCTGGAGCCGTAGCTTAGATTGTTCCGGGTGTTCGCCCGGAACTTTCGGTCTCTGAACCCGAAACGCGGACGGTATGTCTATAAAGCCCGTAAGTACAGCTTCCATGGTTTTTTTTCAGTGTATTTTTTACAGAAAAAGAAACTTATTTACACGTCACATATATCATCTAGGTTAGACGAGGATGAAACGTGATGGATCGGAATAATATGGAATGAAAAGGGATAAAATGGGATAACGTGAGGTGAATCGAGATAAAGCAGGATACAGGGATATCTGTGAATGGTATAACGGGATATAATATAAGAATAAAACGCTGTAAATCGGGATAGAGATAAAGAGACAGAGATAGAGAAATAGAAAGATTGTAATAATATGATCATGATATTGCGGAGCATCTAGACCCGTACCTGGGCTTATCGCTAGTGGGCAATAAAAAAATCCATTAAATAATTTTCTTCTCTTGAGAATGATTGATGATTTTATGCTGTTTTT